TTATCCCCACTGTTTGCACAGGCCAAACTCCAACAGCCTCTCCTCGGGATCCTGCCCGCCCCGACGGAGAATTTATTGTCAAAATTCCACCTCAGTGTATTTCCTTGTACAGAAGGAACAGTCCATGAGTTTCAAAGAAAATGAGGTTGCTTCAATTGTATCTTGGATTCACCGTGTTATTTACAGAGACCCTCACAAGAAAGGGCTCCCGAAAGACCAGTTACACAAGAAACAAAGAACCAGTCAGGACATTCCTTGCTAAGATCCTTAAAAATTATCTTTAATCGATGCCAAATATGAACAGATCATAAAGTGCCAGAAGCAAGTAAAATTGCATAGATGGAAACTATGCGCTTCAATTAGGTTCTCAATTCGTAACATTCAGTGTCCTCTACCCGACCTATGAAACGGTTAGGGCAGGGGAAATGCACAGTAGGTGAAAATGAGACACGTCCTTAACTCAAGGTGTCAGCAACTGGCAAACTCAAGAACTAAAATAGTGCTTTTTCAGCTTAAATGGTTTGTTGTCCTGATGGTGCACTTCAAATTAAGACTATTCCATTGGGATTTTTAACCTTGGTAAGACTTTATCTTTAAGATTAGAGGTATGTCATATAGAGCCCATGCTTTCTACCTACAGCTACTGAAAAAATGGCTCCTAAACAGTGCAGGAAAGAGAAGAAAGGTATGTCTGTTGGTGTTGGAAAGGAGACAGCTTTGACCTGGAATACCTCACTAGGGATTTGGTGTTTCGTTTTCCTTTCTTTCCTTACACTATTTCTCCTTCTCTGATTGTGGTACAAAACTTTTCTCTCCTCCTTGAAGTCTCACGTCATAAAAAATTAACTCCTACTCAGTCCCTAAATGAAAATCACTGCAACTCCGGCAAATCTCCTTAAAGCTAAGAGTCCTGAGGGCAGCAGAGCCTCCCCTTCACATAGGCCTGGGCTTCCCAAGAAAGCCCAGGGTCATTTTGCCTGAGCAAAGAGACTGGCATTTGACCCCCTGACTTCCAAACTTTACGTCTATACCCTGAACGAGTTCGCACAGTGACCCAAGGTAATGGAACAGTTGTGGTTAACAACTCAGCTGCTGTTCGTGTCTTTACAAAAATGATAAGTAACGTACATTCTTCTAAGGTTTACCTGAGTCATGCTGGACATGGTTGTGTATACCCTGAAATTCCATGTATAAATACAAGCACTAGTACACCGCATGGTGGAGCAGAGGCCACCTCCTGAGATGGTGATTAACTTGGGTTGTGTCGGGTTTAAAAATTTGTGTGTGTCTTCTGAAAATGAACATAAACATCAAAAGACTTCAGCCTTTCTTGAAAAAGCAGGAAGATAAAATGGCTATTGATTAGTTGATGTCCTAACGAGTTTGTACTCTAGATGGTTATCCCTCACCAAGTCTCCCCACTGCCAGGAGTGAGCCGTTCCCGGGGGAAAAAGTTGGGGATTCTTCTCTTTCTCATTTTGTTCAACCTCATCTACCAAACAAGGAACTCGGTTTTTAAAAAGCATGTGTTTTGAGGTCTTCTATATTAAATGGGAGGGTTAGGAATCTATTCCTACTGGCTCTTCAGAGGTTAACTCCTTTGAAAAATCTGTAACTATGCACAACGTGAAGAAGGCCCTTGATGGGCTAAACCAAATTTCTACTTCAAGAAATCTAGTCCTCACTCACCATTTACATGTATTCTCTTTTCTTTATTCTCAAGTGAGTCCGGCCTCCATAGGGGAATCTGAGCCAGCCGCACAATTTCGTTTTAGAGAAATGACAGCTGTGCGTCAGCCGTATTCCAGGAGAAGAGACTCCGCTATCGGTTTATTTGATTCTGCTAGGCTAACTCGCTAACACGCTCCCGAAGAACTGTGCTAACTGATAATTAGAACTCAGTTCTCCAGGGGGTAGTGAGAGAAGACTGGGCACAGATGGGGAAGAGGAGATGCAAAAACAAACGCCTTTCTTGGCTAGGACCTGTCTTCTTTGAATCTGAGGACAAAGGAAATGAATGTCTCTGGTCTCTCTAATTCAGATCACTCGAGCTGAGTTAACAACTTCGGAGATTCGGGGATGGCTAACAGCCCCGGGGTGACCCAGCCCCTCCACTGCCACCCTATGGAACTAGGGCCTCAATTCACCAGAAGAGCTGAGCTATGGCTATCAGCACGTCAGAAGTCTTCTCCTTCTGGAGAAAATCAGTGTTCAAGACAAGAGCCATGAAAGCTCAAGGCCTAGGAAGGGGACGGGAAGGTAAAAAGCCCGATAAAATAAATACAAGGAAATAAACCAAAAAGATCATCATTCCGTAATAGGCAGTTTTGTTAAGTGCACCTTCAGGTCCACAAAAACATTTCAGCTCAGTCCTGTGCAAGGGGAAAGAGCTTTGGCAAACTCTGCATGCCTATGCTACACAGATAATTCCCGTCCTCCCCTCTAACTCACTTGGTTTTGATGAGCTCCAGGTGCATAAGTGACCTCCATTTTCCCCAGACCACCCAACTCCATAACAGCAGCTCCTTCCGTCCCAGGCAGACAGGTTCCCTGCATGCAGCACTGTTCCCCGTAACAACACATGCACAAGTTTCCACCCAGTGCCACGTATGGCTGTGACAGGTGTACCCGGTAGCCAAAGTGAGGCTTTTCAGTTCTGGTCCTGTTTTCTCATCCTCTGACCCATCCGATCCCACAGTACCGAGCAGATTATTGCTGTTGACAGAGGGTAGCGCTTCAAGTTCGGGGTGTCCTAGACCTCAAAGTCTAAATAAAAGATCAAGACAATCCCCGGAGATGTGGGCGAGGTTGGCGTTCTCTTTCCCAACGGGAGACTAAGGAGCAGGTAGGAGAGGAAAAGCCAGGATGAGTCAAGGTTCCAGGAGACATCACAGGGAGGACTGAATGCCCTGCGGTCGGACACCGTACAGTCCTTGGCCCCTGTCTTCCTTGGTGTGTGTCACGTCTGTCTTACAGATTCACAGAAGCCGCGCAGGAAAATAAAACTTCCACGTTCTTTCTTTCAAAGGAGTCAGCCAGCCTGGCTGTAACTCTAGTGTCTAGGTTTACTGCCTCACTGCTCGTTCTAGGCTAGGATGGGAGGTGGGGTGGAGTCACGGGGAAGATTTCCAGAAGCAGCAGCGCAGGAATGAAAGACGGTGAGCAGCTGGCAGCCACGTGCTAAGCGCAGAATGAGGATCCCCACCTTGGGTCCTTCAAAAAGCTATGAGTGCCTCCCCGTCGGTGGGCGGCTGCTGGCCTCCAGAGGCCCAGGTGATGTGGCTCTCTTTCTGGTAAGCACAGGGTCCCCGCCATTCTCTGGACTGGGTGCCAGGGGCGACAGAAGTTAGATGTTCAGCCTGCGAGGTGACTGCCAGGATGGGACTCTCATAGGAGCATCCTAGGAACTAGCTGAAGGCGTGGGCCGGGAGGGAAGGCCCGGGAGAGCTTACTCTGAACCGACTATTCCCACATCCACAACGATGCCTGCAAAGATCAGACTGTCAGAGTGGCAACATGCTTCTGCATGGAACTACGCCAGGACCGTGAGGCTGGACCCGAGGAAGCCTTGCTTGTCCAGAGTGACCCCTGATAGGAAACAAATTCCCCAAGAGTTTTATAGTGGCTTCTGGTAGAGAAGAGGAAAAAAGAAGTTCGAGGTTCGTGTCAAGTTCAAAGATGGGTCTCGGGCCCCAGTTTCCATCCCACGTCTGGCTGCCAAAGGGACCGAGTCCAGTGGATGGCCAGAGAGCACCCTCCCGGGTCTCTCCTGTCTGGGGCGCAGGATGGCGCGGTGTCCCCGCAGTGCGAAGTGAGAGAGCGAGGGTGGAAAAAGGAAAAGCGAAATATCTGTGCCCCAGCCTCCCTCCCTTGTGTTACATAACTTCTCAGCTGTGTTAATGGAGGCCCTTTCTGCAGTTCGCTGTGGGTACAGGATAAAGGCACTAAGCAACTATTAAATCAATTGGTTGCGTTTCTTCAGGGAGCCTCAGGGGGAGGGCCGAAGTCTCTGCAGACTGCAAATCATGACTGCAAAAAGAAATCAGCTCTGCTCTGGGCGCATACGATGGAGAAACATTTTCATTTACATCTTAAGAATGCACCAAAAAGCATGCAGTATTGCACCTTTGTTTGTTTGTTTGTTTGTTTTGCTTGTGTTTCTCTTCAGCTAGAAAGAATACGTGTTCTTAGGTGTTGCTCTATATACCTTGATAACTTAAGTTTTCCACAGAGCTTCCCTTTAAGGGACGGGCATGTTGGTCCTCTCTCTGCCTACATCTGCACAGAAACCTGACATTTCCCTGAGCAAAGGCAGGAAGATTGACTGAGTGCGCCCCCCACCCTACCCCCCCCCATTGTTTCTTTTGGGCCCTTCATCCCACAAACTTATAATTTTTATTATTTTTTTAACGTTTTTACATTAAATTAATCATGCACTAATTAATTCAAGGTACACCTTAATCAAGTCGGCCATAATGCTGAATAAGAGAACATGCTTCGAGCTCCAAAAAGTTACTGTTCCCAGCTGACTAACATAGGTACTTAAATACAGTACTTTATTTACTAATAAAAATAGTTCATAAATGAAGGAGTGCACTTTTGGTGAACGCAAATGAAGAAGGATCTATTTTTAGAAGAATCGATTCCAAAGTAAGCTTACCCTCTATTGTCTGAGTTAACGTTCTCGGCATGCGATTGTAAAAGAAATTATGATCAGATTCAAACATGCTTACACTTAGTTTCATTTGTGCTCTGTTGCAATAAGGAGGCGAAGGTTTTACATCCAGTTCTGGAGGCCGGGGTTCAGGGTGCAGGACTGGCGAGAAAAGACCCATTGGGCGCATCTGCAGTTGAGAATCGTAGCAGCACTGCAGATGGATCAATGAATTGCATTCAGTTATCATTTTTTCTTAGAGAAGAGTTTGAATCAGAAGGAAATGGGGCAGAGGGAAAAATCCCTACAGACCAGGCCCAGTATCAGATTTCTAAGGTGCTTGGTGAACCAGTCTTAAGTAATTTTTTTTTTTCACCTTGGAATATGCAGTTCGGTTGATCAAAGTAAAAACATCTGTTCGTTGCCCGTTTCGGCTGGTGTATCATGTTACACATAATACATCTGATGCACCATCTTAAAATGCGCTGTGCAGTTTGCCAGGATTTCGTATCGGAGTCCCATGCAAATTTAAATTTTATATTTCTAAGCGATCATCTGATTCTTAGCTAAAGGAAAAAAAAAAAAAAATTTAAAGAAGCCACCAGGGATTAAAAACGGGGAAGCATATGAACCTTATTTTACCTAGACAAGTTCATGGACTGAGTGATTTTAAACCAGTTTTAGAAAATACACTCTCTTTTCCCATTTTTTAATACAATGAAAATAGTTTCTCTTTTCATGGCTCCTGAAAGCTTCGGGTTTGCCACCCCCCAACATTGGCAATGCAACAATGCATCGACAGTTCGAGAGAGCATTCAAAGACCATTTAGTAAAGTATCTACAAGGAGTGACCTGGGTCACTGGGGGTTTGGTTTGGTTTGGTGTTTTAAGTCTTTCAAGCTGCTAAGTGGGGGCTTTTTAGTTTCTTTGCTTTTGGCTTTTTAAACATCAGTCAGTAGCTTGCTCTTATTAACGCAGTTTTGGTCAGCTGCGGTGCAATTACCAGTTCTGACATTGGACTGTCTAAAGTGGGCTATGCTATTATTCATATCCTCTTCGATCTCCATGTACTCAGATTTGCTGATGGTGGAGGAGCTGCGCCGACTGAGGTCACTGTCAGAGGCTAAATTAGGGGCGCTGACGTGGAGCAACTGAGCCTGCTCTTCCCCCTCGGTTTCTCGGTGGTAGAAATAGTTGAAATTGGACACAATGACAGGTACGGGCAGGGCAATTGTCAGCACACCGGCGATGGCACACAAGGAGCCCACGATCTTGCCTCCAATTGTCACAGGGTACATGTCACCGTATCCTACGGTGGTCATGGACACCACCGCCCACCAGAAAGCGTCGGGGATACTGGAAAAGTGCGACTCAGCTTCTTCCGCCTCGGCAAAGTACACTGCGCTAGAAAACAGTATGACCCCGATGAAAAGGAAAAAGATAAGCAGCCCTAGCTCTCTCATGCTGGCTTTGAGGGTCTGGCCCAGGATCTGGAGGCCCTTAGAGTGGCGGGAGAGTTTGAAGATTCTAAAAACCCTTACCAACCGGATGACCCTGAGGATGGCCAGCGACGTGGCCTGCTCGCCCTTCTGGTTCCCCTCCTGCTCAGCTATCTCGGTGCCCAGGGTGATGAAGTAGGGGATGATGGCCACGATGTCGATGAAGTTCATGATGTTTTTGAAGAAGTCCGTCTTGCTGGGGCAGGCGAAGAAGCGCACCACCAGCTCGAAGGAGAACCAGATGATGCACAGGGTTTCCACGATGAAGAAGGGGTCCGTGAAGATGTTGACGCTGTAGACCACCGTGGTGTTGTCGAGGCGGTGGACGGTGCCCGTGAAGTCCTTGTCATCCTTCAACTCGGGCAGCGTCTCCAGACAAAAGATGACGATGGAGATGAGGATGACCATGACGGAGACGATGGCGATGACCCGGGCGGGCCCCGAGCTCTCGGGGTACTCGAAGAGCAGCCACACCTGGCGCTGGTACTCCTTGTCGGGCAGGGGGCGCTCCTCCTCCTTGATGAAGCCCTCGTCCTCCCGGAACTTCTCCATGGCCTCCTCGCCCAGCTCGTAAAACTTGATCTCTTCGGAGAACATGTCCAGCGGCACGTTGACCGGCCTCCGCAGCCGGCCCCCCGACTGGTAGTAGTAGAGGATGGCGTCGAAGCTGGGCCGGTTGCGGTCGAAGAAGTACTCGTTCCTCAGCGGGTCGAAGTAGCGCATGCGTTTCTTAGGGTTGCCCAGCAGCGTGTTGGGGAACTGCGCCAGCGTCTTGAGCTGCGTCTCGAAGCGCAGCCCGGAGATGTTGATGACCACGCGCTCGCAGCACTCGTGGTCGTCGTGCTCGGCCGGCCGCGGGTAGCTGCCGTCCTGGGGGTGGCCCGGGGCGGCCGAAGCCTCGTCCACGTTCTCTCCCGACATCACCGTCATGGTGCAGGCAGGGGGCGGCGGCGGCGGCGTGAGACCCGGGGCGGGCCCGGGGCGGGGGGGGGCGGGGGGGGGGGGGGGGGGGGGGACCCGCGCGCCCCCCCCACCTGCGTGCGCGGCTCCTCCGAGCTCAGGGGGCGGGGCTTCCGAGCCAGCAGGTGGAGGGATCTGCCACTTGGAGACCGTCTCCACCCCCCCCGCCTGTTTCTCAGTTTGGAGTCCCCCCCGCCTGCCGCCCCGGGTGCAGCTTTTCTCCGGGGCGGGGTGGGGACTGGGGTGGGGGTGGGGGGACTGGGGGTGGCGATGGGAGGAGGGTTGGTGTTTCTTCCTGCTCCGAGGTGCCTTAACGCAGCGCCGTTCTAGCGGACCGGGCCACCGCTTGGGGGCCGCCCTGGCCTCCCTTCCCCTCCGCGAGCCCTCCTAGGACCCGGGGCAGAGCCAGCTCGGCAGATGCCCTCGCCTGCCACCCCCTCTGCTTCTCCTCGGCTCTCCCCCCTGCTAGCCCTCTTCGCCTGCCGCCTTCTAAGCTCCCACCGGGGCAATCGATGGACGCTGCAGAGAAATAGAAAGTGATACGGGGGCAGAAGATCAGAAGCGTTCATATGGGACGGACCCACAGACACGGAAGAGCACAGACCTCTAGCTTTTTGAGAAAGCACGAGACTTTTGCTAGGGTTATATCACAGACACGCAGACAGACACACGCAGACACCCGAAATCCAAGTTTGGGGCTCCTCCATCCCACTTTCCCCAATGCCCAACAGCCGATCTGTTTACAACTTCGTTAAACTAGAGATCGGAAAAGCGCCCAGAGACGCTGGCGGAGCTCCAGGTCCAGGCAGCATCCCCGCGCCCCCGGCTCCCCTCACCCGCCGCCCCAAGCCCCACTTCTGCAGCCCCGGACCGGGGAACCCCCTACCTGGCCAGCCGGCTTGGCGCAGGGGCGGTGCTGAGTCGGCGGAGAGCCCGAGCGGGAATGCGGCAGGTCGCCTTTGCGGTACCCGGGCGCGAGTCGCGGCCGCCACAGCATCCGAGGGGCGCCGGGGCCACCGCACCGCCCTCGCACCTCGTCCTGCTTTCCTTCAGTTGGCCACTCGCCTAACTGGGCAGCGACGGCGGAAATGTCCGTTCCCGGCCCCCATTCTCGCCCGTGGCCGGCAACCTGGAGACGCCGCTCTCGCTCTCGGGTGCGGGCAATTCCGGAGGCTGCGGGGCGGAAAAGCGAAATGCCACCCTCTCCCGAGCTCTGAAGCGAATGACGATGCGGAGCGCTCTCGCCCCCTCCCAACACCGTGGGAGCCCTTGATTCGATCCCGGAGGAGGCGAGCGAGCAAGGGCCTGGATCTCCGTGCCTCGCAGGTCCCCTCGGCTTCCCGCACCCCGCGCGGACCTCGGCGAGGCTACGCGGCGCGCCGGGAGCCGTTCGGAGCTCCGAGTGGGGCAGGGTGCGTGCGGCTCGGGTCCGCTCGGTCCATTTCTGGGCGCTGCAAGATCAGCAGAAACCTGAGAAAGCGCCCGGAATGCGGAGCAGCGATTGGCCCACCCGGGCGTGGGTTGGGGAGGGCGGGGGAGGGCGGGAGCGAGGAGGTAGATGGAAAATAGGAGGGGGTGGCTTGGCAGAGGGGGGCTGTCATTCAGCTCCCACCCTTGCCAACACGGCTTTTTCCTTCTCCTGCCAGAAAAGCCGACCGCCAGTTCTCCTTCCCTGTGGTCCACAGCCCCGCACACGCACGGTCCTCTGCCGCGACCTTTCCGGGAATTTCACATCGGAAATGGTCAGGTCCGACGCAATGCAGGCGGTGGTGTTCCTGGCACAACTACTCTGATGGGCTGCTGTTTGTGCAGTCCCACAATAACCCGCTTCTCCGCGCGCTGTCCGGCCGCTCCCGCAGGGGGCTCTGCAGGGCAGACCCAGCTTGTCCCCGCCGGCCTCGGCGAGATGCGGACTTCGGGTTGGGCTCTGCAGTTGAGGATCAGCCGGGTCTGTTCTCCGTCGCGCTACTGCGAGGCAGTGGTGCTGAGAGTGTGTCCCTCTTTGACCTACGACGGGAGTTGAAGTTTTCTTGCGATCAGACTATTTTGAAATACTGAGAATGTGACTTGTGGGAGACCAAAGGCTTCGTGGGTTTATGCGCTTGTCTGCCAACTTGATGCTAATTGGAACGAATCTGAGAAGCAAGTCGCCTGCCCACCTCCCACCCACGTCCCTCTTCCCGAAGCCTCTTTTTCCGGCCTAAGGCCTTCCCAAGGCCCCTTGCAAGGCTGGCAGCTTCTCGGGGACAGGGTCCGCACAGAGGCGCAGGGCAGCAGGAACCGGGGGCGTGCGCGGTGCCCTCGGAGTGCGGCTCCGGCTGCGCCCCTAGAGGCGCTGCGCCTTGGCGCCTGCAGCGCGAGAGAAGGCAGCCAGCAGCTCCGGTACTTCAACTGCGGCCGAGTCTCCAAGGAGGCTGCAGGAGCCCGGAGTCGCCGCCCATTGGCTCCCCGGCTGCCTTGGGACCACCCCTTAGCACCACCGCGACCGCGAAGCCTCCCGCCGACACCACCCACCTCTTTAATCAAACCGAAAGATTGCATCCTCCCCACTCTGTTGTGGCTAGTGAGAAGCGGGGGCCTCGGCGGGCCCTGCACCCAGGCAGTGCAGCAATCCTGGGTACCGAACTAGTTAAGTCCCTCCTCCAGATACCGACTCCAGCATTCCTTTCAGAAAAAATAGGTATTTGTTCCCTCCACTCCTCCGGAGCCATAGCCCAGCTTTCCTTTTACAAAGAGTTCTCTTAAACTCCGCCTTCCCATATTAAGGGCTGCCCTTTCCCCACCTTCCAAACACATATTCCTGTATCCCACTGACTCCGCGGCTCCTTTCCTTTCCACCCTACTGCTTTATTGGAAAGAAAGAAAACAAAAACCCACGAAGCTCTGCATTGCAATGCTGTCAAGTCCCTTGTTTTCTTTGCTACTGCTGCCGGAGGCTGCTGCAGCCCTGAGAACACCCTACTACTAGATCTGATACACATTTTCAGACCCTGTCCTAGCGATACGGGGCTTCCTACGCTGCTCCTGTACCTCCCTCTGCCTGTAGCCCCCCTCCTCCTTTTAAAGGTTTCTGAGACTGTCATCTCCCCAGCCTCATGTGGATGCACTTGCCCTGATTCAGCATTGGGAGGTTGCCTTAGTAGAAGAGATTTACAGACTGGATGAGATCCCAGGTTCCTAAACCCAGGGGGTTATTAGGGGGCACAATAAGATCAGCAGGTTTTCAACATCCCTGAAAGATGTTTTTAGAGCCAGACTGGACCTCCATGGAACTGGAAGAAATTTGCTGAGCTAGGAACTCATCATTCTTGATGCAAGCCCACCATTGGTAAGGGTCTGAAGTTGTTTATTTATTCAACAATCTGCTTAGCTCCAGCTAGGCGTCAGCCTAATTCTAGCACTGGAGACATAGTAATAACTAAGGCATGAGGTCCCAGACCCCTTAGAGCTCACATTCTTGTGGGAGAGACAGACAATTAACAAATAAACCATTGTATATATGTACTACATCTTCTTTATCCGTTCATCTGTCGATGGACACTTAGGTTATTTCCATGTCTTGGCTATTGTGAATAGTACTGCTATGAACATAGGGTCATAGGGTGCATATATCTTTTCGAATGAAGTTTTATCTGGATATATGCCATGGAATACTACTCAGCCATAAAAGAGAAATGAAATAATGCCATTTGCAGCAACATGGATGGACCTAGAGATTCTCATACTAAGTGAAGTGAGTCAGAAAGAGAAAGACAAATACCATATGATATCACTTGTAGGTGGAATCTAAAGTATTACACAAAAGAACTTATCTACGAAACAGAAACAGACTCACAGACATAGAGAACAGACTTGTGGTTGCCAAGGGGGAGGGGGTATGGGGGAGGGATGGATTGGGAGTTTGGGATGAGCAGATGCAAACTATTATATGCAAAATGGATAAACAACAGGGTCCTACTGTGCAACACAGGGAACTATATTCAATAGCCTGTAATAAACCATAATGGAAAAGAATATTAAAAACTATATATATACATCATATACGTTATATATGTGTGTATATGTAACTGAATCACTTTCCTGTACACCAGAAACTAACACAACATTGTAAAGCAAATACTTCAATTAAATAAATTTAAAAAAAATAAGCCATACATTATAATTTAGGTAAAAAAATTTTTTTAAGGGGATACAGACTGACAAATACAGGTTTGCATGGATAGGAAAGGTCTCTCTGCAAAGGTAGCATTTGAACAAAGAACTTCAAGAAGAGAGAGGTCAAGGAACAGGGAGACCAGAAGGACGAATATGAGAGCAAATGCAAAGGTTCTAAGGCAAGGACAAGCTCAGCATATTTGGGAAACAAAAGAGGCTAGAAAGAAGTGACCAAGGAAGAGTGTTGGAAAAACTAGGTCAGAAAAGTAGGCGGAGGCCAGCTCATGCAGGGCCTCTTAAGCTACTTTAAGAATATTTCATTTTATTCTGACTGCAATGGAAAGATATTGGAGGACTTGGATCCGTGCAGTAACATAATATGATTTGCCTCTTTTTTTTCTTTTTTTGGCCACACCACGCGGATTGTGGGATCTTAGTTCCCTGACCAGGGATTGAACCTGGCCCTATGTAGTGAAAGGACAGAGTCCTAACCACTGAACCGCCAGGGAGTCCCCTGATTTGCCATTTTTAAAGGTTATTCTGACTCCTAGAAACAAGGCACGAGGTTGGAGTTTATCAAGTAGTACAAACAAAGATGGCTTAAACAAGGAAGATAGTGGTAGGAATAGGGTTACATTTTGAAAACAGAGATGGCAGAATTTGGGATGTGGAGGAAAGAAACATTTGAAGAACATCTCCTAGGTCTGTAGCCTTAGTAACCAGGTGGATGGTGATGTCATTTCCTGGACATCACCTGTCCTACCAGAATGTGAGCTACTTGAAGTCTGAGACCTGGTGTGTCTTAGTTATTACTGCGTTGGGCCATGGGGGCCTTTCCTCAGAGTCTCCCTGCCCTGCCATT